GAAGAAAAGAGGGGAAAAAAAATGTGGTCTGAGTCCATAGACGTCACCAGGTCCCGTGGATAGTGTCCGCTACCACCTGATTGACCTCTTGAATCTGCATGGTTTAGGACAGGTTCCCAGACACCCAAAATGGGAAGCCATGGCGTCAGGCAGACCGAGCTTATGCCCTTTGGTTTTGATTTACAGGACCTCGCTCAGGCCAAAGTATTTAGGACCCACAAGTGTGTGTGATTTTGGAGATTGCTTTCTCTGGTGTGACCAGAGACTGGTTCTCTCCATGGGGTCTCAGGATTGAGGTTTCCCATGCTAGTTGCATAAGAAAATTTGCTTAAGACCCTGGATGGGGCTACAGCTGTATTTTGTATCTTCCTGGTTTATGGAGAGCATTGTAAAGCAACACGACATGAGCGCAGCCATATTGACCTGTGATTCACCCGAGCAGTGTGGACGTGCCATCGCCATAGCAATGGGCTAGTTCAGCTGGTGGTCTGATCTATTGCCTAGCAGATGTAACCCATAATGGTTATTGTTTCCCTCTGGAATGTGTGGGCGGTACTCTCGCTCCCGTGCAGCCCTCGCTCCCATGCAGCTGGAGAATATAGAAGGAAGAGGTTCTGTAATAAAGCAAGCAAGGAACTTGAGAAGAAAGGTGCCTCCCGTCTCTCTGTCCTCGTCCTTTCAGGTTTAGGACTTGCTGGCAGGATCCTGATGTCGTGGCTCGCGACACTGGTTAAGCAAGATGGTCAGAGTCCCATCTAACCTGGGATGGGGTGTGGTGCTGATGCCGTCCTAAAAGTATAGCTAGTGAGACCACTATGTGTCCTACACAGCACCTCCTGATGCCTTTTCCCATTTCTGGTCAGAGGGCGCTTGTGCTGCATGATCTTTGGTGCTTTTAAAAGTAGGGGCACTAATTTTTCTAGGGCCTTAGGCAACTCTAGCTACTGAAAAGGAATCCCCAAGCTGTAGGGCAAAAGAGAAGTCGCACAAACATAAGCCCGACTGACGCATGGAGGTTTTCTTGCTCCCAGCAAAGACTTAAGATTCTCCATGTTACAACCGGGTTATCTGTTCACTGGAGTTTTCATTTCACTTGGCAAACACTCTAATGATATTAAACTGACCTGTGCCCAAGGACATGAAAACAGGGAAGAGAAGGGCTGGGGGTTTAGTTCAGTGCTTCTACCACCTGCCTCACAAGTGCAAGGTCCCAAGTTCGATCTCCAGTACCAAAAAAAAAGAAATAGGGATGAGAATAAAGTCCCAGCCCCAAAAGCCCTTCCTTCCTGGCCGACTTGCTAAAATGTTGCCAAGGGTGATAGCACCCCCCTCATAGGATTCTAGGTTCTTGTGCAGGACTAACAAAGAATTGCATGTGGCAGGCCGGGGATTTAGCTCAATTTTTCTGCCACCTGCCTCGCAAGCGCAAGGTCCCGAGTTCGATCCCCAGTACAAAAAAAAAAAGAAAGAAAAAGAAATGCATGGGCACATGACAGTAAAGAAGAATCAGCAAAGTTTAGTGAAGTGTAATTAGGCAGTGGTACAGAGTCCACCTATAGAAAGCAAATGAAAAAAAAAAAAAGAAAAGCAAATGGCACTGCTGAATGGATTAGGTTTAAGAATTTTAAACGTACCAGGTGTGGTGGCACATGCCTGTAATCCCAGGACTGGGGAGGCTGAGGCAGGAGTATTACTGCAAGTTCAAGGCCAGTCTAGGCTACGTAGTAAGTTCAAGGCCAGTCTGAACTACATAGGGAGATCTTGTTTCAAAAAAAAAAAAAATTAAGATTTTTGCATTGAATCCAGGGCACCTCCCACTGGTTCTTCAAGAGCATGACTGACAATGTGATTGACAGGGTGAGCAATCATGTCAGCTGTGTCAATTGAACATGTCCTTTCTCCCATAATTCACTGCTATAGTTGGACACATGAGATGCAGTCCATATTCATGAACTCTCAATAGGCTCCAAGTAAGGTCAGAGATGGCGAACCTTAGAGCTTTCAGTGATATGAACAGCCCACTGCAGCATATGTGCCATAGGTTCACCACCACTGCTATAGGTCACACTGGAGAATCTAGTGTGCTTGCATCCTGGTTTGGGGCTTTGGAATTTTCCAGAGGCCTTTGCTTTTATCTCTGCCTCTGGGTAGTAGGCAATAGGCCAAAAGTCAGGGGGCTGGCAAAAGCCAGGTTCAGGTGAGTGGAGAGGCATATTCCCATAGCCCCAGTTGTGCTACCTACAGTACATTATTCCCGCCTCAGGCTCCTGAGTGCTAGGTTTATAGAATGTACCTTCACTCCTCTGAATCACCACAATTTATAAAAGAAAGGCACGTCATAAAGGAAATCTAGGGCCGGGGATTTAGCCCAGTGGTTCCGGTGCCTAATTTGCAAGTGCAAGGAAGGACCCGAGTTCGCGAGTTCGATCCCTGGTACCAGAAAGAAAAAAAAAAAAAACAACATAAAGGAAATCTGTATTTTAAAGTATAGGAGGAAGACGATGGTTGCTGATAATTTTTATTACTGAGACTTTGCCACACAAGGCCACTTTTATTCACCAAACATCTCTTGCCCTCACTCTCCCTTGCATCACAGCCATCCCGCAGAAACCCAACACAACCCCCTCCCCTTTTTGTGGTACTAGGGACCAAACACAGTGTGGCTCTACCATTGAGCTACATCCCCCCAACCCTTATTTCCTTTTTAAAATTTTGAGTCAGGGTCTCACTAAATTGCCCAGGTTGGCCTCAAGCATGCAATTCTCCTGCCTCAGCCCCCTGAGGAGCTAGAATTATAGGTATGAACCACAACACCTGGCCTCTATTCCTTTCTGGCGCTCTGGTTATTACCTACACTTCAATTATCTGAACCTCCTCAGAGCCTCTTGTTATGCGGAATTTATTTTTTTGGGTATTGGGGATCAAACTCGGGCCTTGTGCTTGCAAGGAGGGTGTGGGGCTGCCAAGCTAAATCCTCGGCCCAGTTATGTGGGGGTTTTGCACATATCACATAATAAAATAGTTTTCCCCCTGTTAATCTGTTTTATGTCAATTTGATTCATTGACTAGAAAGAACCCAGAAGGGTAGAGAAAACCACTTTTTTCTTTCTTTTTTTTGGTACCAGGGATTGAACTTGGGACCTTGGGCTTGCAAGGCAGGCAGTGGCACCACTGAGCTAAATCCCCAGCTCTTTTCTATGTTCTTTTCAGTAGAGATACAATTGATTTCTGCCTCATGGATTTTCCTTTGAGCCAGTTTGGTGCTGCCATGGAAGTACACCTCCACACCCACTTTTAGCACCTTAATGAGTTAAGATCTTTGTTGGGCTGGGGATTTAGCTCAGTGGTTTTGCTGCCTGCCTTGCAAGTGCAAGGACCCAAGTTTGATCCCCAGTACAAAAACAAAACAAAACAAACTTTGACATTTTCCTCATGTGTTTGTATAATATTTTTGTTGTACTTTATCTCACATCTCACTTCCCTTTTCCCTCTGGCTGCTAGGAAGCAAAAAGTCAAGGTTTTAACCCACACAGGAAATGTTGATTAACCAAGTTTTGGCAGAGTGTAATAGGGACTGTTCCCATGACATTGTAGCATTTGGGTTAAGATCCAATGTAGGACGCTTCCCCAGATACCAGGAAGAGAGGACGCTGGGGTTACAGAAGTGAACCCTCAGCCCCTGCCACCTTCCTTTATCAGCCTCGCTGCACCAGGAGGTAGGACAGCTGGACCTCGTGACCTTACTGCCAGAGGCTATGGTGTGTGGGGGGGTGTCCCTGCCACGCTGAGGCCCATCTGGACCTAGCTGGAGCTGACATGGTCACGTCCTAGTCACGGTTCCTCCCCAGTCACTTCTGCTTTCTGCAGAGGACAGAATTCAAACGAAGGACAAATTCTGGGGACAAGTAACAGATGAGTGTTCAGGGAGGGAATGGTAGGTGCCCTGGTGTCCTGGGAGCTACATCGCCTGCAGAGAAGTTCTGTCAGAGCAGGTGCCCAACTCCAAGTGACAGTGGAAGCCAGTCCTCCCCATAACCCTAAAGAATGAGGCAGAGAGGGGAGGAGGGGGTGATGGGAGGGTAGGGACAAGGGGAAAAAATGAGAACCAAGACTTGTCACGTACAGGTACAAGATCCCAATAATGAATGTAACTGTACTGTATACCTAAAATGTACCAATAAACTCAATTAAAAAAAAAAAAGGCAGAGACAGAAGCAGTGCCCTGCAGTGACAGGAAGCTCGAAGCACCCCAGTCCTGGGGATGCCTGCTGCCCCCAAAAACACCCACCTTTGAAGTCCATGACAGGACTCCAAGCATAGGCTCAATGAGACCCACACTGGACCACCCACAGTTCCGAGGCAGAGAGCAGAGCCAAGACCACGATGCTTCTGCGGGGAGCCAATCATCTCTGGTCTTCAGGCCTCTAACAGCTGAGTGTGTAGCTTGTAGGGGGACAGGTAAGTCCCCTTGCCTCCCCCCGCAGTCCGACTTGTAGGGCCAGAGCCTCAGATTCTCTGCTGGCCTAGAAGCCAGACCAGCCAGGTCCACCTTGCTCTTGTCCTTGAGAGATTTCAAAGAGGCCAAGGTAGAAGCTAACTGTATACTTGCCACAGAGAAAAAAGGTCCATAGCACTTGGGAAGGACCTGTAGGCCAAAGGCAAGGAGATACCATACAGACTTCCCTTCACAAGCCAGTACGGCCTCTGCCACTTTCTGTTCATGCAGCCACTCCTTGTGGCCATGGTGGTACTTAGATTGTGCTACCTTCTCCACCTGCCCACCCAAACACTAGGGATCAGAGCTAGGGTCTTAGCACTGAGCTACAGGATCTCACCAAGTTCCACAGGCTGGGCTTGAACTTGTGATCCTGCCCAGCTTCCAAGAATGCTGGCACAAGCACAAACCACCATGGAGAGCTGGGTTGTGCTACTCTCACCCCAAAAGACCATTACCAACCCCAATATCCTATCGACAAACCACCAGAGTCGGCTTTCTCCTTTTATTGAGAAAGGGACACAGGGTGGGAAGCAGTGTGGCACCTCCTGGAAAGACCCAGGACAACAGCCAGGGTCAGGAAAGCCACTGCAGCCAGGCCCAAGCCTAGAACCGTGGGGGTGGGGGTGGGGGTGGGAGGGGTCTGGCCCTCCACACTGTGGTCACTAGCCCGTCCCAGGAAGATCAGTGGTCCCACGGTGACATCTGCTTCTTCTGTTACTGAAAGGAAAAGGATACCTGAAGGTCACTTTAGTCCCTAATAAGGAACTGGGTTTTTTCCTGCTTACATGAGCTGGATAAAAATTGGCTCAAAAAAAAAAAAAAAAAAAAAAAAAAAGATTGGCTCTAACAGCTGCATTTATTTTTGGTAGTTCTGGGGATTAAACCCAGGCCCCTTCACACTGAGCTATACCCAGCCATTTTACTTGAGACTGGGTCTTGCTAATTTGCTGAGGCGGGACTTGAATTTATGATCCTCTTGCCTCAGCCTCCCAGAGTGCTAGGATTATGGCCTTGTACTATCATGCTCAGAAGCACCAAAGTTTCTGCACAATGCCTGAGTACATCCCCTGAATAGCCTCAGAGCAGGACAAGGGAGTATTCACCCTAAAGTAACAGCAGGTGTCTTACAATGAGTAGTAACATCCCAGTGGCCAGCCCTTGACATACCGTGCCTGCGGTTTCGGTCCCGTGAAGTAGATCCAAATCCCTGGCTCACCCTAGGGAGCTGCCTCTGGGAATAGCCCGGACCACCACAATCTCCCTTGTCACAGCACTTACAGATGTCAGCAGTGCCTTCTACTGGGGACCAGCTGAGAAGACAGACAAGCAGCTTAGGTTTTCTTGCCTGGCCAGAAGTGGTTTATGGATGTCTACTGGGCACAAATTAGGTACAAATAGACACAAGGTATCAGTTTCCACCACAGGCAGGTGGGTGTGGTCTGCTCACCTATTAGAAGGCTTGTTGAAGGAGCAGGCTTTGTTGAGTTGGTCTGGGACTTGGTTAGCTGCAGTAACCTTCAGGCGACAGGTGATATATATCTGAAACACAGTGACCAGGCCAAGTTCTAGGGTGTGCGGATGACTTACTTGCAATACTAGGGATTGAACCCAGAGCTACATTCCCAGGTCCTTTATCTTTTTGCTTTGAGATAGGGCCTTGCTTCATTTGTCCAGGCTGAGCTCAACCTTACAATCCTGCCTCAGCTTCCCAGAATACTAGAATTACAGGTATGCACCACCAGTGATGTTAACGAGCCCGTTGTCATATAACCCGTAGCCTTTGAAATGGAAGGCAAGGAAAGCGCCCTATCTCTAAGATAGCGTAGAGGTTAGCTTGCCCCACCTCAAATAAGCAGGAAGTCTAGGTCTACATTAGACTCAGTCATCTCAAGTCTTTCCCAAAATAAGTTTTTTTAAGAGGGCTGTTAATGTAGCTCAGTGTTAAGGGCCTGAGTTTAAAGCCCCAGACAACAACAAAGTCAGCTTTCTGGCTGCTTCTGGCAGACTTTGCCGAGCTGCTGCTCCTCCGGTACATTGTCCCTTTCCACCTGTCCTGCTGCCCTTCTGAAGCCTCTGTCCCTGCTAACAAGCGCAGGCCAAGCCCCAGGCTCTGGGAACCCACGTGACCCCTCTTATCTAGCAACCGGAGCTCCCCCTGGCTGCCGATAGTTCTCCATCTGCCACACCACCCTGCCAGCCTCTAATCAGAGAGGCGACAGCCCATCTTAGTGCCCAGGGTGAGGGACATTTGGACGAGCTCTGGCTCAGTCCAGTCCTGGTCCATCCCAGGTCACCTGGTCCATCCCAGGTCAGAGGTCCCTTTGACGCTAGGAAGGGCTGTGACACCTCCCTGCTGTTCCAGAAAATTAAGGACATGCTGCCACCTACTGGCTGAAGCCACTCATGGGGCCACAGGCTTGGGCCACCACCTAGCGCCAAATGCTAGGGAAACCAGTTCTGAATTGAGGCTACATTAAATTCAGATTTTTTCCACCAGCCAGGTTATCCTGCTGGCTGCCTGTCTACATCTGTCCCATAAGAAATGCTCCCAGGTCCTTTAGAGTCCATTTTCCAAGAGGAAACCGCTTTTGTCCTTAGCACAAGAATGTGCTAGGGTGCTGTCTGTGGTGGCGAATGCCTGTAATCCCAGCATTTGGGAAGCTGAGGCAAGAGGATCTTTGCAAGTTTGAGGCCAGCCTGGACCACACAGAGAGACCCTGCCTCTATGAAAGGCTCGCTGTAGATCTGAACACAGTTGTTCCTTCTACCATGTGCCACGGTAGAGTTGGCCAAGCCACCCTCCCACCTTTGAGGGGAAACTTTTTCTTGATCAGTGCTCAGATTACTTTCCACCAATTAGCCCTGTCCTCTGGATTTTTTTATGGCACTCCTGGAGATTAAACCTGGGGCCCAGAACATGTCAGGCAAGTGCTCCACCACTCAGACATATCCTCAGCCTCGTCTTTGTTTTTTGAAACAGGGTCTCACCTTGAGCTCAAGAGGGCATCCCGCCTCAGCCTCCTAAATTCTGGGATTACAGGCACATATCCCACACCTGGCTCCTTGCCCTCTATCTTTTTTTAAAATTGATTTTACATATCTGAAGGGCTTCTATTTATTAAATTTATTTATTTGGTACTGAGGATCAAACTTGGGACCTTGCGCTTGCGAGGCAGGTGGCAGAACCAAGGAGCTAAATCTCCAGCCCTGCCCTCTAAATCTTAAAGATGCAGACACCAGCTCTTTGTGCCCCTGCTCATGATCTTGTTGGAGCCCTCATCCCTATCCTCCATCCCCACTGGGCCAACTCTACAGCCAACCTGGACTCTGTTCCAAAGGATCTTCTACCCTAGGACCCACAAGGCCACCAATCTGGAAGCCATATGTTTCTATACTGGTTCTCTTCTCTAGCCCCATTTCAAGCCAGGATCAGCTATCGATAGCTTCTTGTCTATTCTGGGGAAGGGTCTATGTAGCCCAGGCTGGCCTTGAACTCTCAGCAGTCTTCCTGCCTCAGCCTCCTGAGTAGCTGGGATTACAAGCGTGCACCACTGCACTCAGCTTCTATCCAAGTTTGTGTTGCTCATATTTGATCCTTGGAGGTGTCACTAAAACCCACAGCTGGCAAGTTTATAGTGTTTATAGTGTTATTAGCACAGAGGTAGGAGTCGTTTGCTCCAGGGGAGAGGGGAGTGTAATCTTAAGCATACCCTAGAATTCAGTCTCATTGTAGGCTATTAAGAAAACACCTTTACCGTGTTTCTGGAGTCATTAGCGAAGTAGAACATGTCTACTGTGAACCGGAGTGTGTCCGGCCTGGGTCTGGGGGCTTGGAATACAGAAGAACCGTCAAACAGCCCGTCCACGAGACAGCTGAGAGGGACAAATGCACAGCCGTGTCAGAGGCCAGGGAGGGGGCTACCAGACCATCCTGCAATGGAGGCTCCTGCAAAGGCTGCCTGGCCTCACCCGTGGAAGTCCACAATGGTGTGACGAGGGGACGCATCCTGGTCTGGTGTCGGTGTGGCCACACAGTGGTCCACGAAGAGCTGCAGCGGCAGGTGGCTGCCAGTGCGGACCTCAGCCTGCAGGTGGGCAACCTCACCCAGGTGGAAGGTGGGGGATGTCTTCTCAGTGCTCCAGTTTCCTGGGGGACACAGCCCAGTCTAGAGGCTGCCCACAGCTCCCCCAGGCTTCTCTCCCCTCTCAGCCTCCACTTACCCTCCATCAGGCGCAGGGAGAAAGCCAGCTTCTCCTCTGAGGACACTGTCATCTTGAAGGGCACCCACGTGGGCAGGATCGCCTGGCTGCTCACGTTGCCGTGCCTAGGGTAGGAGCCGCAGCTGCCCAGGGTGCTCCCACCCCATGGCAGAGTCTCTGCAGTGGGTCCCGGAGGCAGCAAGACCAAGGCAGCCAGGCCTGCAACCCTCCAGAGCAGCTCCACTTGGGAGCAGCCCACCATGCTAACCTGGAGGCCAGGCCCGGTGAGTTGTCACTGGAGACAGTGACACTGGATGCCAGAGCTTTGTTTCTAAACCGAGCTCCCATCCAGTGCGGTGGTGCATGCCCATAACCCCAGCACTCAGAGGCTGAGGTAGGAGGATCTCCTACCACTCGCCTTCCACTGACCTGGGGTAGCGACACTCGATGGGAACTTCCGCATGGTTGGTCCTCACGATGGACAGGTTTCCCACGGGCCGGGGCGTGTGCAGCAGGAAGGTGCTGTACACCAGGGCATCACTTGTCACCTGCGGCAGAGGTGAGGGACTGGCACCAGCATGATTTGTGGGAGCCCTGTAAGTATTTCAGGGCAGCCAGGCATGGTGGTACACGCCTGTAGTCCCAGCATGCTAGGAGGCTGAGGCAAGAGGACTACAACTTCAAGCTTAACCTCAGCAATTTAGCAAAACCCCGTCAACAAATAAACAAATAAAGGGCTGGGGATGGAGCTCAGTACTAAGGTCTAGATTCAGTCCCCAGGATTGCAGAAAAAGGAAGCATTAAACCATGCACAGGATCCTGAAGGACTTACAGGCCACCCACCTACAATGCCAGCCAGTGCCAGGTGATTCTCATGGTGTAAAACATCACATCTGAGAAAGGAGCCTCCAGATTGCAGTCACCTGGGACACTGATGCCAACGGCTGCCTCCCAGGCCAGCACTGATTCAGTATGGGGTGCAGCCTAGACCTCAAAAATTTTTTAAAGCCCCCCCAAATCCAGGCCCCGGGGTGCAGCAAGAACGTGGAGCTGTGTATTACACTGCTCCACTTCGGTGGGAGGCTCCTTCCTAGTGGTCCAGGCATTGAAGGTTCAGACCCGGCTCTTGGCAGGAAAAGCCCTGCCCTCACTGCCCACTCAGACCTGCCCCCCACAGCACCCAAATGAAGCCTTAAGATCTTCAAAGTGGCATCACGATGCCCCCTGTTCATACCATGTGTAGTCCAAAGCTTCAAGCTCTTACACAAGAGGGAGGCCAGGATTGTGGTGTTTTTAAACTCTAAGGATTGAAGCGGGGAGCCCTCTACCACTGAACTATGACCTCTTTTAAGACAGGTTCTGGCTAAATTACCCAAGCTGAACTCAAACTTGTGATTCTCCTGCCCCAGCCTCCCAGAATCGCAGGTGTGCAGCACCACACTCTGCTTGGGATTTCCCCACCCCTGTAGTAGTTACTTCTGGGTTTCCTGAAGCATCAGTTCTCTCTTCCCAGCAGGTTCCCAATGCCCTAGCCAGTGCCTGAGCCACTCACAGGATGGGGCATTCACAGGGTGGGCCCCTCACTCCCTTGCTGAGGACTCTGGCATTCTGTCCACGGGGGAGGAGTCAGAGTGGGGACTGCCTGTCCCGGCCCAGAAGGTACCGCCACCTCTGTACTCTGCGCCTGCCTGATTTGGGCAACTGGAGCCAGGAGCTTCCCTCTGCCCTGGGCCCTAACCCCCAGCCTCAGCTGTTTCCCCCACCCCTGCTGGGTAACCCTGCTTCCCATTTCTGGCCACATCTACATCCCCCACCCACTCCAGGGGCCCCCGCCTCACCTGAACACTGCTGCCACACTCATGCACCCCAACCTCGAACTTGACCACAGTGTCATCCATGCCTGTGGAGACCAGGGGGCGGCAGCCTTCAGGGCCCAGGGTGAGGTCGGCAGGCTGGACAAGCTTCCCCGTGCCAAAGAGATCTCTGTTGACAGTGACCACCAGCCGAGCTTCCAGACACTGCACCTGTACCGGAGAGACAGAGGGTACAGGGCGCCGGGATCCGCCCTGCAGGAGCCAGAGAGGCTGAAGGCAGCACAGCTCCATGCTCCCCAAGAGCAGCAAGCACATGAAGAACCCGTGGCTCAGCTTCATGGTGTTACAGGAGCTGTGAGGCTGACTCCTGTGGAGCAGAGGGAGGCCGCCTCCCAGCCTTCTTATAGCCCAGAGGGCAACAGCCCTTCTACAATTCCTGGGCTCATCTGGGCTCCCAGCTGCCTCCCTTTCTCAGGCAGCCAGGCCCTTGCTGCGGAAAGTGGTCCCCGGTGCAGCTTGTTGAACACGAGGCCTCTCAGCCCCCACCCAGACTGACAATCACAATCTGCTTTCTAGGTGGGAGACTCCAGGTGATTCTGATTCACATTAAAGTGCTTCGGCAGACTGATACCAGCACGGATTTCTCAACCTGTTCCTGACTCCTCCCCACAGGGACGACACATTTTTAGAGACAAATTAAAGTAATAAAAAAATAAGAATATTTAGGGCTGTAGCTTAGAGGCTGAGGCTGGAGAATTGCAGATTAGAGCCCACGCTGGGTGACTGAGCAACTTAGTGAAATTCTATCTCAAAATAAAAAAGGACTAGGGACACAGCTCAGTGCAAAGTCCTTGGGATCAATCTCCACTACCCCTCACACAATGGCATTTTATTCCTAGGGCAAAAGCTTGCACACTTGAACCATACATTTAAGTTGCCTACAATTCCCTTGGCTTTTTTTGGGGGGGGGTTAATACTCCAGTTTTCTGGTGGGAAAAATAAATAAATGGAGGGAAGCCATTGGCCACACAGTTTCATCTGGCCTGATCACCGTGGGGAAGGTGAGCAGCCAGCAGAGAGAACCAGGTCAGCGCTCAAGAGCCTAGGCTCCAAGCTCGCCTGGGTGCTCAGCCCTGGGGAAAGCTTTCCACTCGGGGTTCCTGCTCCCTGGTCCAAAGGAAGGAAGCAGCTGTGGCCTAAGGCCCTGGGGAACAGGGAGCTGGAGATCTTTCCTAAGGGGCTACCCACTGGGGAGAACCCAGTCCTGCTTATTACCCACAGCTGAGATGGCTGATTGTGCTGGAATAGAGAGGGCTGGGCTGGGTGGGGCTCACAGGGCCTCTCTGAAGCCTCCTATCCATCCTCACGCCCACCATAGAGCTGCAGAAAAAAAGATGAAAGGAACCTGGTGTTGTGACACATACTGGAATCCTAGCACTCTGGAGGCTGAGGCAGGATCACAAGTTTTGAGCCCAGCCTTGGGAACTTAGCGACTTAGGAAGACTCTGTCTCAGAATAAGAACTGAAAGAGAGCTGGGGTGTAGCTCAGTGTGAAGGCCCTGGATCTAATCCCCAGTACCTCACGTGTGTGTGTGTGTGTGTGTGTGTGTGTGTGTGTGTGTACACACAAACGAAGGGGCAAGTCTGGTGAGGTGGGGTCGAGGGTCTGTATGCATATAGGATGGGCGGTGCCTGTATTCCCCTTTTCAGGAAAGGGAACTAGAGACCCCTATAACAAACAGCATGGTCAGTCCAGTCCCTCTTACCCACTGTCCACCCTGGATTCTAAGTCTTTTACAGTTTTCCGGAGAGTGCTGCCCCCTGGTGGCAAGAATGACCAACAATACAGATGGCTGGCTAGAGTATTCTCCTTAAACATTTTAGAATGTGGATGTTGGCTTCTAAACGCTATTCCTTTCTGAAAGCAGGACCCAGGGCACCTTGGAGAAATGGCTGGTTCTGAATTAGGGCCAGGAAAGTACAAGATAAACCTGGAACCTCTTGCTATACCATCAAATGCTCAAATGATGATGTGGATGTGACTTAAAAAACTCACAGGAGCTGCAGGGGGCGGGGTGGCGTTGACCAAAAAGGAATAATTGCATTGAAATAAATGATAACAGTGGGGTTGGGTGTGTAGCTCAGTGGTAGAGTGCTTGCCTAACATGCCCAGGCCCTTGCTTGGATCCCCAGCATCTCCAAAACAACCAAACACCAAAAAGGACTTCACACACACAGAGAATGAAATGATAATCCAAGCTGCATATGGTGGTGCACACCTGTAATCCTGGCACTCTGGGAAGCAAATTCTAAACCTGCCTGGGCAATTTAATGACTCAGCAAGATCCTGTGTCTAAATAAATAAATAAATAATAAGATGGTAAATTTTATATTATGTGAGTCTTGTTTTTTCTTTCTTTGTTTTCTGAAACTGAGTCTTGCTACACAGCTCAGCCTCCCCCTTGAACTTGCTGTGTAGCCCAGGTTGGCCTTGAACTCATGAAGATCCTCCTACCTCAGCCTCCAGAGAACTGGGACTACAGGAGTGTGCCTACAGGGGTGTGCCACCACGCTTGCCTTTTTTTTTTGGTACCAGGGATTGAACTCGGGTCCTTGCGCTTGTGAAGCAGGCACCGAAACCACTGAGCTAAATCCCCAGCCCTGTTTTGTTTTGTTTTTGAGACAGGGTCTCACTATGCAGTTCAGGCTGGCCTTGAACTCACTAGGTAGCTGAGGCTGGACTCAGACTCACAGTAATCCTCCTGCCTCAGCCTCCTAAGTGCTGGAACCCAGGTTCTTGTGCATGCCAGGCAAGCACTCTACCACTGAGCTATACCCAAACCCCTGCTTCTATTTTTAAATATTAATCCGGTTTGTTATTGTGAATCACTTGAGATGTTTGTGTTTTAAAAGAAATGTATAAGGCTGAGGATTTAGCTCAGTGGTTCCAACCACCTGCCTCGCAAGTGCAAGGTCCCAAGTTTGATCCCCAGTACCAGAAAAATAAATAAGAATAAAAAAGTATAGATCCGTCAAAAGTTGCAAAAAATATGTAGGGTAGTCCACAGTTTCCCTTAGTTTCCCTCAGTGGGTACATCTTACATAATTATAGTACAATATCAAAACCAAGGGGTTTAGCTCAGTGGCACAAGCACCTGCCTGGCAAGCACAAGGTCCTGAGTTCAATCCCCAGTACCAAAAAACAAAACAAAAAACCAAGGGCTGGAGATGTAGCTCAGGGGTAGAGCATGTGCTTGGCACATGCTTGGCATGTGTGAGGACTTGGTCTCTCTCTATCCCCAACACTGAAAAAGGAAAAAAAAAGCCTGGATATAGTGGCATACATCTGTAATTTCAGCTCTCCAGGAGGCTGAAGCAGACAGATTGCAAGTGTTCTTTTTTTTTTTTGAGACAGGATCTCCCTATGCAGTTCAAGCTGGCATTGAACTCACTATGTAGCCCAGGCTGCCTTTGAATTCTTGGTGATCCTCCTCCCTCAATGAGTGGTAGATTACAAGTTTGAGTACTGTCTGGGAAGTTTGGGAAGACCTTGTCTCAAAATAAAATATAAAAAGGGGCTGAGGGTATAAATGAGTGGTATCACACCCCTAGGTACCAGGGATCAAACTCAGGGCCTCATGCTTGCGAGGCAGGAGGTGGCAGCACTGAGCTAAAGCCCCAACACTATCCCTAGGTTCAATCCTCAGGACTAACAAAGCCAGATCACCCCAGGGACTTGACATGGATGTAAGTATGCATACAGTTCTGCTATTTGGTCACAGGCAATCAAGAGACAGAACCTGCTTTCTGCCTTCTTTCTATCATGCTTATCGGGCTCCCTGCTGATGCTCCCAAGAGCATCAACAATTCCAAAAAGAGAGCCAAACACCAGCTCCTTGTCAGACCGAGCTCCAAGGTCATCAGCTGGATCCTAACTGTGATGATGCAGCTAGGGCTACATCCGTGACCTAGGAATCACTGATCACCAAGTTGAAAAAATCGCTGGGAACTTCTCAGGCAGGTAAAGGCATGTGATTAGCCCCAGATAGATACGCAGTGTATAGAACTAGAAACATGACAGGAGTATCTGTTCCTGTCCTATTGATTTGGAAACTGGAGTTCTCTACCACTGAACTACATCATGGCCTGTTTTATTTTTTATGTTGAGACAAAGTCACTAAATTGCCCAGGATGGCCTCAAATTTGCCTCCCTGGTAACTGCACTGCTGCACCTGGCTGAAAGGCCAGAATCACAGAGATGGAAAACAGTGGTGAGATCCAGGGTTTGGGGACTGTATAGGGGCTGGCATCTTGGACCACAAAGAGGTATAAGCTGCACAACAAAGAGACATAAGACAACCCAGCACCTCAAAGGTCTCCCTTTTGCTACCCTTCTCTAGCCAAGCCCACCCTCTCCACTCCACAGCCCCTAAATCCTAGACCTCACCACTGTTTTCCATCTTTGTAATGGTCATTTTTCAGCCAGGTGCAGGAGGGCAGACCTGTAATTCCAAGCTACTTGGAGGCAAGTTTGAGGCCATCCTGGGCAATTTAGTGACTTTCTGTCTCACAATAAAAAATCAAATGAGCTGGGATGTAGCTCAGTGGTAGAGAACCCTGCTTTCTGTTTTTGTTTGTTTGTTTTGTTTTGTTTTGTTTTTTGAGACAGGATCACACTATGTAGTTGAGACTGACCTGGAACTCACTATGTAGTCCAGGCTGGTCTCAAACTCACAGCGATCCTCCTGCCTCAGCCTCCCAAGTGCTGGGATTGCAGGCGTGAGCCACCATGCCTGGCTGAGAACCCTGCTTTCAATCCCCAGTAGTACAAAAAAAAAATAATCATTTCGAGGATGTTATATGAACAGAGTCCTGCAGTGTGTGACCTTTGGAGATTAGCTTTCTAAAGTTATTGATTGATCGATTGGACTGGGGTGAAGTCCAGGCCTTCTCACTGAGCTACATCTCCAGCAGCCCTTTAACGGTTTATTTTGAGATGAGGTCTCACTAAAGTGCTAAGTTGCCCTGGCTAGAGTCAAACCTGAAGTCCTCCTGCCTCAGCCTCCCAGAGTGCTGGGATTATAGGCATGTGCCATTTTGCCTGGCAAGATTAGGTTTTTTTCCTCAGCATGACGTCTTTGGGATCTGAGATCTGCGGTGGCTCTGATGTGGTTTGTCCTGGGAATTTCATGAGCTGGATACCTGATCCTCTGTGGTGGGGGACCTTTAAGAGGTGGAGCCTAATGGAATAGAGATTAAGTGGAGCTGGACCTTCAGAAGGATCCTGGGAGCCAGGCCCTCTCTGGCTTCTTGTTTGGTAATGTGATCTCTTCCTTCCACATATTCTCTGCCACCCACCATGGGCCC